AGGAAGGAAGGAAGGAAGGAAGGAAGGAAGGAAGGAAGGAAGGAAGAGTGAGGAAGGAAGGAAGGAAGGAAGGAAGGAAGGAAGGAAGGAAGGAAGGAAGGAAGGAAGGAAGGAAGGAAGGAAGGAAGGAAGGAAGGAAGGAAGGAAGGAAGGAAGGGCAAATGCTCTGAAATTGACTTCCATATGAAACGAGACGCATCAAATAGACACCTTGTTGTTGTATTGCTATCAGGGATTGCAACTGACAATGGATTGTATGTTTGTTAAATGATTGGTTTGTTTTGTAAATTCAACAGAGATACTATTTGTGTGCCATACAGTGAAAGCAATAGGACGTGCATTTGTTCCACAGGTGTACAACATCTCACAGTTGGTTTCCCACTGATTTGAAGACTCATTATTTCTGGAAAACAGGTGGGGAAGTGCTATGGTGAAATCCCACAAGAGCTCGAGCATTAACACGGCCCAATCAGACACCACTTGTTGTTTAGGGTGATTTTAAGTGCTGTATGTAGTGATGATGTTTGATTGATTAAAAAAAAAACCTTTCCTCACACTCTCCTGTCTCCCTCATTATATCTCTCCAGTTCATCTCCTCCATTTCCCGTTTCTCCCAAAGGATTTGCCACCTTTCTTTGGATTTTCCAGGGCTCAAGCCTAAGAGCTCCTTTCAGAGGAAATGAGCAAAAGATCTGAGATTTGCAGGTGAGCTCTACAAGTTTGCTTACACACATGCATATAAAACCTCATACTTAAAGTGGTAGTTCACCCAAAAAAAAATGATTCATTTCAGAGAGAAGGAACAACAAAGTTCACTACTGGTCGTGAAATAGTTTGACAATTTAAAATATCTGTTTTGTGTTTTATTCCTGTGATGCAAAGCTCAATTTCCAGCATCATTACTCCAGTCTTCAGTGTCACATGATACTTCAGAAATCATTATATGCTGATTTGCTGCTCAAGAAATATTTCTTATTATTATCACTTCTAATAAAAGTGGCTGCCCCATATTTTTTTATGGAAACGGTGATACACTACCATTCAAAGTTTGGCGTAATAATTGAGCACCAAGTCAGCATATTAGAATGATTTCTGAAGGATCATGGGACACTGAAGACTGGAGTAATGATGCTGGAAATTGAGCTTTGCATCACAGGAATATAAGACATTTTACAATATATTCAAACATATTAATTTATAATAATAATGTATTTTTGTGATCAATTATTTATTCCAAACTTTTAAACGATAGTGCAAATGATTGCGTTATTTAAAAATTTTGGTGTATATGCTGTTAAATCCACATTTAACTTGTCTTAAAGTTCCATGGGAAATTTTTCAATGCAGAGATCAAACTGTCAATCATCCTCCATTACAACTTTATTGGGGCATCACGACCCAGGAGGGGCCGATCTCTGCTGGTTGGTCCTCTGCAGGCATGTTGTATATTTATGGAGGAGAGTAGTTGACGTTTAATGAAGCTGTGCAGAACGGACCCGACAGGCAGCGCTTTCCACCGCAGGCTCGCTCTAATCTCCGTTAAAATAAAAGATAATGAAGCATTTAAACCATCTGAACCTCTTTCAGCCTGTGGCCACACAGAGAGATTTGATATGGAGAGACAAGGCGAGAAGCGATCTGGTAAAAGAGGGAGGGAGGAGGCTGTCATTGTTGGGTCAGAACAGTTGATCAGCCTCAAGGCCTTCAGCTGCAAGCTGTGAAGGAGGTGGGAACGTTCGTGTGTCGTGGCTTGTGTGTGGACAGGTTCGTGAATTTTTTAAAACATCTGCGAACAAGTAAATGGTCAAATCATGTTTTGCTCCAAATATCATTAGGTTTCTATGAGGGCATGGTTTAGGTTAATTTAGTGTAAAACTAATGTTCCCAGAGTCTTCTGGGAACACTCTAAAAAATCTTGTTATTTTTTTTACCCAAATCATGGGTTGAGCCTTTTGGGTCATTTTTCAGTATTTGGGTAGTTTTTGTGTTACCCAGCTCCTGGGTCAGACGCAACAACCCAGTGTTTGGGTAGTTTTCTTGTGTTACCCAGATCTTGGATCAGACATAACAACCCAGGGAGTAATTTATCGCAGGCTTTTTGCGAACTCTTCAGGAGAGAGCAGTGCAGCTCCATCAAAATGCTGCATGTCTTCGGTAAAATACAGGTTTGTGTACATTTTTCTCTATAAATTCGTTATTGAGGTCGGTGTATATCGTTTAATTATATGCAAAGCAACAAACAGGGGTGCGATGTGAGTCACCAAAACGAGTGTGGCGTCGATCTTTTCGCGTGATGGAAACGCCTAATGCCTTGCATAAAATTTCATGATTTTATTCAAAAAGATACAGAATATAAATACGTATGATGTTAAAATATGTTCTCAGAACTGTCCACTGATTGTTTATGGACAGGTGAGCCTGTCGCTGCATATTTCGACTACGAGTGAAACGCAGGGTGGCGGTCTGAAGAAACTCGAAAAATTAGAATATCGTGCAAAAGTTCATTTATTTCAGTAATTCAACTTAAAAGGTTAAACTAATATATACTCATTACATGCAAAGTGAGACATTTCAAGCCTTTATTTGTTTTGATGATTATGGCTTACAGTTTATGAAAACCCCAAATTCAAAATTAGAATATTGTGAAAAGGTTTTCATAGCTGTAAGCCATAATCATCAAAACAAATAAAGGCTTGAAATGTCTCACTTTGCATGTAATGAGTCTATATAATGTATTAGTAACCTTTTAAGTTGAATTACTGAAATAAATAAACTTTTGCACGATATTCTAATTTTTCGAGTTTCACCTGTATGTTAAACGAACTTAAATGTTGGCAATATGTATTCAAAATTATATCAAATATACTATACTGTAAAATATGATTGAAAATAAAGGAATTATCATGCAAGCCAGTGGTTGTATCGAGTATTTTAAAAAAGTTTAGAGGGTTTAAGTTAATCCTTAGACATTAATTCATGTATGAAGTAAAAAGAAAAAAAGAAGAAACTAGTATAATAGTAAAAATGAATCAACTATGCTGGGTTAAATCAACCCACTATGCTGGGTTAAATAAACAACCCAGATAATTAACCCAACATGTGTGCTGTCCTATATTTACCCAGTCCTTGGGTTGAAAACCCCCCAAGTTTTTTAGAGTGAACCAAACGTAGCTGGGTTATCGGGAAAACCAATGCATCTAGTGCATCTATGAGAGATTCTTGCTAATCTAACTTCAAAAGTCTCGGATTTTGTCTTTCTAAAATGTCCACATCTCTCTCTCTGTTTCTCCCTTTCAGAGTTTTCGGATCATTATCTAATTTTATGCTGTGCCAATCTGTTTTCTTAGTTGCATCATTGGAATTGCTGCCAGGGCAAAGAGGCACAAGAGAAAAAGGATGAGAGAAAGGCAGCAATGAATGGATGATAGATAGAAATGATGGAAGAGTGGGAAAGAAAGATAGAAAGCTGCATAACAATGGTAAGAAACAAAGTAGGAACATGTTTACACTGCACCACATGGTGTGTGTGGCTCACATCTGTACTGAAATTACCTTTTCTCTTCAGCTCAGATCCATAAAACCCCCACAGCCAGCAGAACCCAGAAAATTAATGCGTTTCTGTTATCCAGTCAGTCCAGCTCTGTGTCTTTTCTCCTTTAGCGCTATGGAGCAGATACATCTCTGTGGGATCTGCCCTCACCAGCGCAATCAAGCCAAACAAACCCGCGTGATCAAAGTATACTGCAGCATAAACAAAAGCTCGAGAGCCCTGCTCGCCTCCCTCAAGCTCAGAGTTTTTGATGATGAAAAGCAACTGAGTGTTCTTGCATCTGAAAAATGAGCTATTTGAAAACATCATGGTCATTTATTTGGTGCATTTGAAAGAGAAAATGCGAGTTTTAGTTTGCTGCACTCACAGAGTTAAACTTTACCAGACGCATAAAAATAAAGGTCTTGCAAAGAGATTTATAGCTTGGTGTTGTAGAAGAACTTTCAAAAGTTGCTTTAATGCCATAGAACCTTTAAAATTTCCCATGACACCATAATACCTTCAAATTTCCTATGAGGCCACATAGGCCACGTATACACTGTAAAGTTTCAGGGGTGACAACCGCATTTAAAGGGATAGTTTACGCAGAAATGAAAATTCTGTCGTGAATTACTCACCCCCATCCCGTTCCAAGACTTTCGTTCATCTTCGGAACACAAATGAAGATCTTTTTGATGAAATCTGAGAGATTTCTGTCCCTCCAGCTATGACACAACTGACACTTTGACTTTCATAAAGAGATATGATCCATATGAATTGAGTGGTTTAGTCCAAATTTTCTGAGGAAACTCAATCGCTTTATATGATGAACAGGTTCAATTTAGGCCTACTCTTCGCCTACTGACCTAATACATAAAGATTATGGGAAGCGTGCTAGCCAGACGGGATTTAAACTTTGACCGGAGACCCAAGTTTGGTTTGAAGACGGAAAAACATACCAAGCTCAATGTTCTCTCACCATTCCTGATTTCTAACACACACTCACTGCGTTCGGCGTGGTTTTGCGGCTGTCAGAGCAGAAACGAAATTACGTTCGATTAGATTAGATTGAAAGACCTGAATAAGTCCATACATTTACCCGCCAATAGACCCTCCTCTCGTAGAAATCAGGACAGAAGTGGTTGAATGTGGACAAAAGAGATGGATTAAAATAAAATGGGTTGACGGGAATGTGTCTCCCTTTATACCAGGTGTGAACAGGGCCTCTGCTTAACCTAAGTGTGTACACACTCATGCCCTTTGTCAATTTCCTTCATATTCTGTCTGTGTGTGAGAGAGAGAAAGAGAGGTTTGCCTTACTCATAACATGACTAGTGCTTCTTCTGCTAGGTGATGTGATGTGAATGTAAAACAGCCCCGTGGTGTGAGCGAGAGGGGAGTGCTGGGAAACCAGCGATAGTAATATCTGCTGTCTCACCTCAGCGCCTCTTCTCATTTCTCCTTGATTAGAAATGCAGTTTACTCTTCACCCCCTAATGAAGAGTAAAATAGATATGTGTGTGTTCGGGGTGGTGGTTGAAGAAAGAGAGGAAAAGGAGACATACTGTAGCTTGTTTTGGTGAGTTGCCTTTCCCTTCAACTATTTGTGAAAGGAATCCTTGACCACCAGCTGGGAGAAGCACACACACTTTTAAGTGCACTCTGGTTTGCCACAACCTTTTTGAGCCCTAATTGAGGATGACATTTGACACTTTCTTAAGGCATGAAATATCCCCATAATAACTTCCTGGAAGAGACACAACACTCATTAAAATGGTTCAACCTGATGTCTGAGTGGCACAATAGTGTGAAAGTTGCATATTTTAAAAGTGTATTGCCCCTGTTTCCCTGCTTGGCTTACATTGTAAGTGGATTACTGTAAATACACTTCTTGTTCATTATTACAAACTGAGGGATGAGTCTAAACTAGATTTGCTTTCTAAGCTCAGGTTTTTCTCTCTGTGTAAATTAAATGTGGCAATATTTAGTATATTCAGTATTCTGTAAATCAACATTTGCGAGTGTGATATTGGTTAAATGTACTGCAATAGTTTCAAAACTACAAACAGTATTCAAAAAGTTAATATCTAGTCATTTACATTTCAAACACAATATTGAGAGTTTTTGCATATTTTGTGCTCCAACGAAAATAGTTTCAAAAGAACCCAGAATTAACTGTTTTGTCTCGAGCAACACACAGTGCCGTGACATTCCTAAATGAATTGGTGTTTTTGAATGAATCCTCCGACTGAATTATTCAATGACTCATAAAGGCAGTGTCTGAATAACATTCAATCATACTACACTTGAATGCTGAATTAATTATTTTTGAATTAATCTATTGATGGAATAATTCACTGACTCACTCAAAGACAGGCACTAGATTTTTCCCAGAATAAATCAGTGTTTTTGAACAAATCGATTACGATAATGGTTCACTGGCTCACTGAAAACAGGTAGTTTTTTTCTGAATGAATCAGTGTTTTGAACAAATCGTTTAAAATAATGATTCTCTGACTAAATTTTAAGTAGAATACTACATATTAGTTTTATTATTCCTCTCATAACTTTATATGGCTAGTAAGAATAGTATGCTTTTCTGAATTCACGTTTTTAGTTCCTCGATGAATCTGTGATTTTGAACGAATCGGTTTAATGAAGGATTCAAATAAATCAGTCATAAAGACAGATTCTTGTCGCTACCTATTGGTGTAACAGCAACCTCCTGCAAGAGTACCGAAAAAATCCCTTAATACACCATTAATACACAGATCACCATGCAAATTTGCCATAACATCATCACAATTGGTTACATTTTGAGCACATTAATCATAAATGTTTTTAAAAAGTCTAAAAGTATTTTAGAACTCTTTGCAGTGGCACAAAATTGGAAGCACTCGAGTGGTATATTTATGGCGTCCTCTCGCCATGAAGTGTTTGTGATTTTTCATGTTAAAACCAGAGAAGCTTGAAGTCTATTTTTTTGTGATAACATCTTTTCTTTTTCTACACCTCTCAGAGCTCCTAGCTTCTCCTGCGTTCCTGAACCTCAAAGAGAAGTGGCAAACTGTGAGTGCCCTTGTCAAAAAAAAAAAAAGTACATCACCCCATAACTGCTGGAGAAGTCTCCTGCTGTTACAAGGAATTCTGGGTAAGAGTGCGTGCTGTAAGGGTTCATAAAAGTCAATCCATGGGGGATTTACATGTATGAACCGAAGCTAAACCCAATCGGCACACTGCTGAGATCGATAAATCAAACTTAAAACACCATAACTGCAGGCTTCAAAGTAAAAACAACATCAAACAAAATGTCATGATTGCAGTATAATTTTTATTTAGACTACCACCATTCGCGGCAATTTTGATCATAATCGTTATCGTGATCGGCATTATTATCACTGTAGTGCTGTATGACAGCATCATTATTCCATAAGAATAGCCTACAGATGCAGATCATCTACAAGGACACATGATGGGACGGAAAGCCATTGGCGTCGTGATGATCTTGTTTTCTGCGTGTGCGACCGTTTAGATTTATGAATTCATAAATATGGACCATCTCGCTTGAAAATATACAATGACTCTCAGAGGGTAAAATCAAACTCTAGTGGTTTCAATTATACGCCATATAAAAGCCAATGGGGAGAATTTATTTGTGTTCAACAGAGGACCGCAAATCCATTGTGTCGTCTATATGTGTGTGGAAAGAACAAATGTGTGTGAAAGGCTTGACTTTTAACTACTAAAACAAAATAAAAAACACCCACAGATCATTTTTATTTCCATTTTTGACACAATTCTGGATGGTCTATTCAGCTACACAAGGGACTCTTGCTGAATAGAGCTCTCTTCCCAAAACTAGTGTGCTGCCTACTTAGTGTTATATTTATATACTATTATAGTTTTTATTAATGTACTATTGCTTTTCGTTCACTTAATCCTCTAGCTATGTTTGGAATAGCATACTGCTCTTGCTACTTCTGCAATGTAGAGTATAGATAGAAATAGTAAAATTAGTATGCTTTTTAGTACATTGCATGTTATTTTATATAGACCTTATGTAGCCCCGCCCCTTTTCAGCGTGTCTGTCTTCCACAGCATGAAGGTAAAATCTTACGAATTTATGATTTAACGGGGGTTTTTTTTGTATCTATACTGACATTTGTTATGACTTCCACTTCAAACACAACAGTGCTCATGAAAACTAGCGTTAACTCTACAATAAGTAAATACACTTGAGACTGCTTTACCTATAAAATGAACATGCATCTAAAAAAATATTACTTATTCATTACTGCAACATTTATTCTGGCAAGTGAAAACATGTAAACCCTAAAAGCTAACGTTAGTTTTTTGTTTTATATCAATGCAGTCTAATGCAGTAGTCTGTGATCAGCGGAGTCTCTTTCCTTTTGCTTGTACAAAAGGAGTGTGACATGTTCATTAAACAGCAGGAATCCCATTAATAACCCCATTAATAACCCCACATGTCACATCGCTCACATGTAATTAGTCAAACAAACGGCCACAGCAATGCTAATTGTCCCCCTGTTCTCTCTCCCTCTCTCTCCGTCACTGTCACTCTAGTCCTCTTTTCTGTCCTCTCTGCTCCATTCTTTATTCCCAGTTTTCTTTTATAGCCTCCATCATAAGTGCACTAATCTAGAAATCACACTATTATGTCTAATAGAAACAGTGACTATTCCAAACCTCAGTCCTTTTATTTTAATTATTTTATTTTATTTTGTTATGCTATTACTTTTTTTTTTTATTCTTTAAAAAATTTGTTTTCATTATTTTTAATTATATTTATGTTATAGCCTCTATCATAAGTGCATTGACCTAGAAATCAAACTATGTCTGATAAAAA